AAGTTACACACGCACACACATATGTGTATATGTTTATGTATTTAAAATGCATTCTATAAATTGCTTGTTCTCACACTCAAACCCATGCATCTTCAAAATTTTTCTTCTAAGTTGTTAGTTTAGTTCAGAATTCAAGTATTATTTTAACAATAGAAGCTTCTGCAAAGAAAATTTCAGGCAGAAAGCCAATATATAAAACATAAAAGTAAAATTATTTCTTTGTAATGTGGAAGCAGAAGCTCCACTCACAGTCTTTCTCCTTCTGCTCAACAACGTTCCCTGAAGTTTTCTGAGAAATATGTTGGCCCTGCAGATCACACAGTATGAAAACTGTTTAATCAATTAATAGTGCTATCTTTAAAGAATTTCTATTTTTCATATTTCTCAAAAATTATCAAATTGTTATCATACATGCAATATAGGACCTTCAAAAGCACATAAAATAATTGATAAAACAATCCATAATAGAGGCAACTATTGTTTTTGTACTACCAATTAACTATTTCTTAATTGATTCAAAACCAACTATATTGGTTTTCAAAATTTACTAAACTAAAAGTTCACTTGAATTTATCCTAATGGTTACATTAGATACACTAGTGAACCATTGAAAACATAATGAACAATAATGATGAAAATAGAAAGAATTTATAAACTACTGATTCAAAAGAATAAGAAACTAGCCCTTGAAATTAACACCTACTAGCATTAACCAGTAATCCATATAGTCTTTAAGTAATTGTGCCTTTACTCTGTCAGGAAGATTAAAAATGAACATTTCCCTCACTTTCATAATTTTTTACATAAGGTCAAATGTTTAAGCACATAATTTTAAAAAAATTTCCATTGTATGTTTGTATTTAAAGTGATTTGTTTATAAATTATAAATACTGTATATGCAGTCTAAATTACAGCCATGAAGGCCCTGTATCTAAACTTTGTGTAACAGCTATTGAAAATTAATGTGGAACTGTTAAGGGAGGGCAGAGGGCCTCATCTCCTCCAGTTGTTAGTGGAGGTGGAATTCTTGTGATATCCTGAGAAAAATAATTTTCCGAGACTCAACACAGAAGGATGCAATATTGTGGAAAGCTTTATTTTTGTAGAATTAAATCCCAGAGTTTCCAAAGTCCCATTTCCCTCAGTCCAGTCATGGAAGAGGTATAGCTGTGGCTTTAGCTCAAGTCAGAGCCAGTGTCTCAAGTTTCCTTTCCAGGTTGGAGCAGAGTCCAGTCCAGCATCAGGCTGGCATATTTTGTGTTCCCCACTGCAGTCCATCAGTCCATTGCATGTGGGGTCCACAGGGCCATATGGCTATGGAGAGAACATGAGTGAATGCAAGGAAGCCAAGAAAGAGTCAAGAGCACAAAGAGTAAGGAGCAACAAGAGAGAGAATTTCATTGTTTAGGGGATTATGTATTCCTAAATTTTCATAGGCTTGCAGTGGCCCCACCCATTCTGGTCAACCATCTCTGTCCCCAGGTTTGACTGACAGATACCTTTTTCCCTATGTCACTCCAACTTCACTGGGCATGTGACTATCTTCCCTCTGTTGGACTCCTTCCCCACTGTTTAGCAGCGAATAGACCAGTGGTTCCCTGGGGAGTGCAAAGTTGCAGCTTCCTGGTGAAGCTGCCAGGATGACATGCCTGTAATGTTTGGCTTCCCCCTTTGCTCCTTTCCTATTATCAATAACTAGTTAATTACAATGGTATCAGAACCTAGTTTTTATACAGTGTGAATAATTCACCTCTCTTTAAAGGAGTGAGAGCAAAGGCCATACATCAAAAGCCAGAGATAGAATTAAAAATTATTCTCTTAGTGTAATGGTAGAAAAAAGAAAAGAAATATACAGAATTGAAGATGTATTTAGAACTTTGAGAGAACCCAAATTTGAAATAAATATAAAAATAAGAACTCTGTTATTATTACTGCTCACTATAATGAGTCATATTCTTTTTTTTTTAATGTTTTTATTGATTTTTATAGAGAGAGGAAGGGAGAAGGAGAGAGAGAGAAACACCAATGAGAAACAATAATTGGCTGCCTCCTGCATTCCCCCTACTGGGATCGTGCCCTGATCAGGAATTGAACGTGTGACCTCTTGGTGCATGGGGCGATGCTCAACCCACTGAACCACACCGACCAGGCATGAATCATATTCTTGTTACTGTGTGTGGCATACTACATTTCTATTTTACATTGTTTAGAAATAACTGGGAGTCATTATTCTGTTATTTGTCCTGCATAAAAATAAAAGCTGGATTTGAGATACTGCAGCAGCATATATGAGTAAAATAATTTTCTCATGGGAAAGACAATAACAAGCAACAGTACCATTCCTATAATCTAATATAGGTGACTTTTCATAAAACTATTTTATATTGTTACATTATAATTTATCATATAAGTTATGTATTTGTTTCCATTTTACTTTTAAGAATCTTATACCAGAAACCTAACCAGATTACTATAAATTAATCAAATTCAAGGGAAATTTTTTCTCCGCACCACAAGTTTTCCAAAAATTGTGTGATTGGAGTTTAGTATTCAGATTTAGTATTTCTGTGTACAAGTTTGATTTATCTTTTGCAAACTAAAATTTCCATATTAATTTTTTTCTTCATTAATTTTTAGAGAGAGAGGAAGGGAGAGATAGAGAGAGATAGAAACATCCATGAAAGAGAACATCGATTGGCCCCCCACTGGGGATTGGGCCCACAACATGAACATGTGTCCTGATTGGGAATCGAACCAGTGACCTCTTGGTGCATGGATCCAATGTTCAACCACTGAGCCACACTGGCCAAAGTTTCCATATTTAAAGTAAAAAAGACTTACATAAGACCAAATAACTCATACTGAACAAGACTGCCCAAAGTTAATGTGTGAGAGAAATGGGGAGTTGTGAGTCTATGAAAATAATAAGGAAGACATTTGAATTCATTTAAATTTAAAGGCCATGGAAATTTTTTCTTGCCATTTTTAAAGTCCAAGATGAATTAATTAATATTTATTTTTTTAATCCATAATTTGTGAATGAGATTGAATCATAAAATTTCAAGAAGGATCTCAATAGAGTAATCATAGAATTGTTTTATTTTTAGAGTAGTTTTCATAGCTCTCTGGTAACTTCATATTTATTTGAAACGCTATGACTTTGTCTTTACTCTTCATTCTCATAAATAATAAGGATCTTCATGAGCACACAACAATGTATATGTCAATATGTATGTACATTATGCCATTGCTGAACTATGTCACAAAGTTCTAACATTCACAGTCATTCCAATCAAAAGCCTTTTTCTAAAACCATTTCATTTTTTGTTTAATTTAAAAATTTGAAACTATACTAATTAACACGTTTGTGATGTTTCAGGAGAGGTAGATCTAAACTTACTTTAACATTTAAAATGTATGTTTATGTTTTTTAATTAAATGTATTGAGTGATGTTGGTTAATAAAATTATATAGGTTTCAGGTACACAAGTATATCTGAAGTTTTAAATACATCATCTGTATATTGTGTGTTCCCCACCCACGGTCAAGTATTTTCCATCATCATTTATCTCCCCTTTACTCTCTCCTCTCTCCCACACCACCACCCCTTTCCCTATGTCTATAAGTTTTGTATTTTTTCTTTTCTTAATTCCTTCACCTTTTTTATCCAACCTCCAACCCCTTTCTGTGATAAAAATTAAATGTGAAAAACTATAAGATTAAAGAAGCTCATAAAAATGTTAGGCCAACTATTACAAATTGATACTTCCCCTACTGCAGCATGTAAGAGCCAAATATTTTTCTTTTTCTTGGAATCAACCGACTTTTTTGTAAACTAAATGTGTGAAGTATTGTTTTATTTTCTAGTTCGATCATTTTTGACACTTGACAGAGTGTTACTTGTTGAGAGGGTTTGCAGTACATTTGAGCCTACATCAGGAAAACGAAGAAAATATTTAAAGGTTTTTAAACTAAGAACATAAGTGAAAATATGAAATGAAATATATTCACCCTAAGATTTCTAAACAAGGTAAAGTTTTTAATCTATCATATATTTATTTACAATATTACACTCTATAAGAACCAAGTCTTGAGAATGGAAATAGTAAATATTGTTCATTGAGAAATCAAGGTAGACAACTTATTTCTCAGTATATCTGTTCATTGGTCAGAAGTTGGTCCATGTTAGCATGAAGTTTTAAATAATATTGAGAGTATAACAGAAATCAACTTGAAATAAATGCTCGTTTCTAACTACTGAATTCTGAGATGTGCTCCCTTTTAGTTTTTCTTGTTTCTCTTTTTCACATAAATGTAAATATATAGAGACATAAAATTACTGGTGTAGTATAATGTGTTCACAGTGAATAGAATCAAAACTCATATTTATGTTTATTTTTAATAGGTTATATTTGTTCCTCAAAACAAATGTTTTCCAATGTTCTTCTCTTTTTGCTCCTGGCCCTTTGGCAATCTTTCTGGATACATGTTTTGCCCATTTTATTCTTAAAAAGGATAGGCCACGCGACTGAATATAAAAGATAGGTAGAATGCATAGGGCTGTTGGATGTCACAAGTATTTGTAGCTTGCTCTGTTTTCTTTGACACTAGAAAGAGCAGTTTTTCTTGATGTTTCTGTAGCTGCAGATGGAACAAGGACTAATGTCTGAAAGGAAAAGTACAAGGAACAAAAGCAAAAGATGGAAAAGTGTATCAGCTTTTCTCCTAGTTTTCAATGATAATTCACCAAAATAATGAAAACATTTTCTCTATTCATATACAAATCACAGTGAATTTCATACAGTAAAATCACAACTCCACATAACTTTCGAGTAAGGTGGAACTTTTTTCCTAATAATTTTTGGAATAATTATGAAAAGAGTTGACTAACTTTCTATCAATATATTGAGTAAATGAAATTGGCCCTAAAATCTGATTGCACACTCTGACCAGTTAGCAATATGAAGAAAATAATATAAATTCCCCTCTCTCTTTTTTAGATTTCTGGACCAGTTGAGAATTTTACTGGCTGCATAAAAGTTGTAGAAGTCAATAACTGGGGACCTTTCATCCCATCCAAGGCAGTGAGAACAATTCACATTGATAACTGCAGGTAAAATACCACTAATGATTTTTCAAATAATTGTCAAATAACCGCACCAAACAATAGGATTTCCATTTGAAATTTTCTAATCAGGACTATATTATATTTCCTTTATTTTGTTCTTTCTTTCACCCTTTCACATTCTAATTTATTTTTTTGCAGACTAGAATTTGCAAGCTATATCCCAGTTAAGTTGGAACATTTATTTATAATGAGTTTCTTCTTTGTGCTATATAAGAAACATTATATCTACCAACAAAAGATCAGTGAGTCAGGATTAGGAAACATCATCTATCACAGTGTTTAAATATAAGCAAACTGATAGCCATGCATGCGGTATTGTTCAGAGTGCTAAAATGTTTCTTTCTTCTACTATATCTCTCTCAAGAAGTTTTCCTCCTGCTTGAATTTCCACCTTAGTGACACATTCCTTTCAGATAATCTTTTCTGGCTGAGAAATCTCTATGTGTGTTGGGGGGAAGAGACAATATTAGGCATTAATACATTGGTATAAATTGATTTAAAAAACCCTCCCTGACAGTTAAGGAAAAAAGGATCATTTTTGGAGCTTTACAGTGCATTGAATATGTTCACACAAGTTAGGTAGCATGGCATGATGAGACAGGATGTTTGATCAGCATAAAAGCCTGTTTGTCAATAGCAGAATCACATTAATTTATTCTACGAAAATATTTAGAAGTACTGAAATCCTCCTGTGCACTCTGGTCCAACATGAACAGTCGCACAGTGACAGGTCTTAAGGAGCTTATAGTGTAGTGAAGGAAACATTGCTGAAATGTTTAAATAGATATATAAATATGAAGAGTCCTAAGGAAAAAATATAGAAGGCTGTGAGATCTTCACATATTTGAATAAAATCAAATCTTCTCCTTCATAGTGGGGGTCATTATATTTAAGAATTAAAGAAATCCATAAGAAGGTAAAATAATTCATTCACCTTTAGACTGATACATTTAAAATTTTTTGTAGCACCTATTATACATTGCTAGACAGGGTGCATTATTTTTTCTTTTTGCTTGTTTGCCTGGCCTGTGTGTTTTGTTTTTAACAAAACGAAAACTTAACATCTTACATTATATATACTAGATGGGTCCCTGCAATTTTAATATCAATCAAACACCCATAAGTCCTTATATTTTATCATTTATTAGTAATTTTTTTAACAAATGTATCTCCATTTTTTTATTGATTTACAGTTAAAAGTATTTTCTAACAATTATTTAACCTCCAGGTTCTTTGCTCCATACCTTCTTTGTTAAATGGTATGTGATCTGTTAGCTGTTATTTAATTATATAATCACTAGGTAGTAAATCCATTGAAAAGGATGAAATCCTTTGATAATTTGTATATTCATCTGCTAATTTAGAAATATGGAAAAGTGGAACTCATTTAACTTTTCCTTGTAGTAATGAGTATGAAGCAAAAACAGACCCAGAGACATGGAAGTGGGGCACAGACTGACATCCCTCCGAAGAGGGGGTGGGGGGAGTGGGAGGAGATAAACCACAGAACTTATATGCATGTACGCATGACCAATGGACATGGACAACTAAGCTGGGGACGGGGCGGGGGTGGGGTGGGGAGGGGGTGCCAATGGGGTAAAAAAGGTGAAATATCTCTAACAAAAAAAATAAAAATAATAAAAATAATAAATAAATACTATGCAGACCACTGTTCTACAAATTTGGAACAACCAGGTTACACAATAACTGTTTTCCTTTTTCATGATGTGAGATAGAGGGGGAAATGATGAGATTAGTTAAAACTCACTTAGAAAAAAAAAAGAAAAGAAATTCATTGTGTGATCTCAGCTATGTGCAAGCCAATTCTAAACGCTGTTTTTGCTTGATCACTCTTCTATGTAGTCGAATTTTATTCACTTAAAATGTCATTCATTTGACCCTTATTTTGTACTATTGGTTCTTTAACCATTGGCTAGGACTCAAAGCTTCTAGTGATAGTACCCCTCTGTATAACATCAACAAAGCTATACACATATAAGAAACGATTTGCTTGTGATTAGCATTAGGACAAGTAGAGACCATTAAATTTCTCTGAATATTTATTCTGTTCTTCTCACCAACCCCTACCACCACTTTATTTCACTTAGGTCCACCTCTCCTAAAAGATATATTATACAGGATATATTTAGAATATCGTTTTCAAAGCCTAATTCTGTAAATTACTGGCTGTATGACAGTGAGCAAAGGTTAAAAGTTCTCCATTTCTCAGTTTTCTTATCTATGAAGTCAGAATAATAACCCTTGCTTTGTGCTTGTGAAGAAGGTAAAATTAGACTTTCTCCTTCTTAAGAGCTCGATGACACTGGTCTTTCTTGAAAAATGTGCTCTCACCTCCGGAGAGTTGCTTCTTTTTGTCCCTCTTGCAGAAACCTCCTGTCCCTCTCTCCATCCCCCTCCTTCAGAAGGCTGGCTGGACCTAAACTGTATTATCACCTCCACAGAAAGGCATTCCTGGACCAACCAAAATACAGTTCCTCCCCTGCCCGCATCTCCCCGCCACTCTTTATTTCCATAATTTGTTTTGTATTCTTTATGAGACATGTCACTGTTTGAATGCATTTATTTCATTGTTTCATTGACTCCCTTCAGGATATAATGTGTGTGTTTCTTTGGGGCATGGACAGCATAGACCTTTCACTGCTATTTCCTCAAAGCCTACAAGAGTAGATGTTCAAAAATTTGCTGTGTAAAGTATCTTGTGATTCTACTGTGTGATTATTTCTTCACACAAATTTTTATTATGAGATTCCTTTTAGATTTACTCTAAATGGTGATTCTGGACTATTTTGCTCTTTGCACTCTCAAAAATGATTATTGACAGCTAAGAGCTTTTTAAAGAATATATAGAATACAATGTCTTTATCATTATCATATTAGAAAACTGAGTTTTAAATATATTTATTATTTAATTATTGTAAAATAAAAAGGTAAACTCGTTACATGTTAACATAAATAACACGGAGTCGTGTATTATTATGAAAAATAACTAAACATACAACAAAAATGATGAGAAGAGTGCAGTGTTTCACATATTTTGCAAATATTTTTAGTGTCTGGCTTACTGAAGACAGCTGGATTCTCATAAGTGTTTCTGCATTCAATCTGTCCCATAACTGCTCCACTAAAAAAATCTGGCCTCACACATGTACTTGGACTTGATAGCGGTTTTCTAGTAGCTTTTTCGGATAATTGGGAATGTTCTTTCTTAATACTACACTAAAACTTGGTAGTAATAGATTGTTAAAGGTTAGTTGTAACATGGAATGTGAAACATTGATCAATGAACCATTTATACTCTTAAATTAAAACCCATTGTCCTTTTTCACATTTTGAATGGTTCTTTTAACCATGCATGATTTTGTACTATCACTTGCAAAATATCGTTTTTCTAGTTATTCAGCTATACCAAATATCTATTCATATTAATTTAAAACATCAGAAATCTTGTATGTGAATATCCCCTCCAATCTTATCAGAAAAGTTTTTAATTATTGTAAAGCTGTCAAAGTCAAAAGAGTCAATAAGATTTTTCCAAAATTCTAATATTTGCTTAAGAGCTCAAATTTTAACATTGGCAACAAATACTATTAGTGATTATCTTTGAAGTGATAGGTACATTTTGTTTTTGTGAAAATGTCAGCCTAATACCTCATGTTACATACCATGGTTTGAATGTTAGTTCTTATTTCAAGAAGCTAACTGATCTCACGGGTCAAATAATCACATAAGTACTTCTTGAGGCAACCATCACACCTCAGCATACAACAGAAGGGCTTCATGCAAAAAGTCCCCTTTATTATACTTTATTAAGAAGGCATATTCTTATAAGTTATAGTTTTTAAAAATAATAATTATGCCACTACCTCAAGTACATTCTTAAATAAAATGAGCACTTTTCAACTGTAAACAAAGAATGCTATACCTACCCGTATAATTTGGTAGCACCATTTTTATTCATACCAAGGCATTAGCAGTTTTATCCATTACCCTTGTACTATCAGTGTGAATGTAAACTGAGAAAAAGTCAAATAACATCTTGGTGCTATTATTAAAACTATTTTAACCTCGCAGATTATATGAAAGTTTGTTGGGGTCTTTTAGATCACATTATGAGAACTACTGCTTTCCATTCATTTGGCTCATGGGTCTCTGTTTACCTAATCATAAGAGCAAAGCTTATCTTCAGAGACAGTTACTGTCACAGTGCAGGACTACGTGTGATTCAGAATTTTATTACAGGGTCTGAAGTCCTACTATTTTATATTAATTGTAGCACTGAGATGCTGCCATTGAAAAACTAAAACAAAAATTAATACTGGTCCCAGTCTTACACACATAAAGTAGGATGAATATCCCCACAATTTGTTGATTTCCTGCTTGATGCTCCTTGACGTATTTTCTCAATTGACCAAAAGACTTCTGTGAGTTAATCTCTTATGACTTTTATTATATGTCTTTGGTAACTTCAAAGCTTCTAGGAAATAATATACTCTATAATATTTTTTAATCTTACCATTTACACATTTGAAATTTATTTTCTTATTTTTAATAAAAATTATTTGTATTTAAGTATGATGATTTGATATATGTACACATAGTGAAATGATTACTATAGACGAGCTAATTAACATATATATCTCCTCACATAGCTACCATTATTTTTATGGTAACAGTGCTTGAAATTTACTCTTAGCAAATTTCCAGTATTTCAATATAGTATAATTAAATTAACTATAGTCACCATGGTATACATGAGATCTCTGGACTTATTCATTCTATGAGACTGCAACTTTTTTCTTTTAACCAACATCTCCCCATTGCTGACACCTACCCGCCTTGGTTATCATCATTCCACTCTCCGCTCCTACGTATTAGACTTTTTTTAGAATCTACTATAAGTGAAATCATACAATCTTTTTCTTTCTGCATCTGGCTTATTTCTCTCAGCATATCGTACTCCAGGT